GCTGGGCCCTGGGCGGAGCAGCGGTGCCCGGGGCAGGCACGGGGCAGCGGGGGAGGGGACCAGGGCCCAGCCACCAGCCTCTGTGCCCACCCCCGCGGGAGTCCCCACACCGAGCCGGCGGGCCGCGGGCGGAGACGCCAGGCGTCCTCTGTCCAGGTTGCCACCGTCCCTGCCCTTCCTGTCACTGCGTCTTGGGCAGAGCTCCTGACCCTGGCCACAAGCAGGGCCAGCACGGCCAGGGCGACGTGCGGTTTCTGCCGCTGGGGCCCGGCCAGGGTGGGCGCAGACAACCGGCCCTTGTAGGCGCTTTCAGGTGAACAGGGCACCCCTCTCTGCGCCACCTGGGCCTCTGTGAATGGCCGCAGTGTGCCCTGTCTCCTGCCCAGACCTGGCCCCCGGCGACCGACATTTTTCTTGGAGGAATGTGGCAGGCGTCCCCGGCCTCCCTCCCCACAGGCTCTGCTCCCGTGTGGATGCCAGCGAGCCTCCCTCTGGGCACACCAGACCGCGCCTCTGTCTGCCACCTGCCCGCTGGACCCGAGCCTCGTGGCCCTTTCCTTCCGTGGGGGTGCCACACGGCATGCGAGAGAGGAGGCACCCACAGCACAGCCTTGGCCGCCTGCTGTGGTCAGCAGCCCCAGCTGCAGGGGGACGGGGCCCTGTGCCCACCGCAGTGCCCAATGCAGAGGGCTCCCGCAGGCAGAGCAGGAGCCCATGGGGAGAAGGACGCAGCGGGGTCTCTGACGGCGAGGAGGCAGGCGGGTCCCGCTGCCCCGGACACTTCCTCGAGGACGGGCCCTGCTCCTTCCTACGCTTGTGCGACTCACCCTCCTCTCTGTCCTGGATCAGCGTCCCGATCAGGCCGCTCGGAGCTGCCACAGTTGCCCCACGTGCTCCTGAACCTCAGCGCCTCACCAATGCACATTTGCTCCTTCTTCCCAAAACGTTTTCCCCTCCCATGAACTTTGCCATTCTAGCAAACTCCTGTGCATCCACCTAGACCCCTAAGGGGCACTGCTGCAGCCTGCTCCAGCAGGCCGTGACCGTCCTATGTGACTTTGGACAAGTGGCATTTTCTCTTGCTAACATGCAGAAGCCACCTTAAAAGGTGGTCATGGAGAAGCAGCGAAATAAGGTAGAGGACTGAGGAAAGTGCCCAGAGCAGAGCCCAAGGGCGGCCATTGTCACTGCAGCGTGACGAAGCTGAGGTGGGACGGGAGGTGACAGTGACAAGGTCCCAGAGAATCAAATCACAACCTCAAGGAGCCCAAATTAAGCACGGCAAATACGCTGACATCACAAACCCAAGCCACCAAGCTGGTGCGGTGCTGGGTGACTTACGTCTGTTCAACAGCGGGCACCAGGACCGCCACTCCTGAGCCTCATCCACTCAGAGTCGGAGCGCGTTCAGCCCCGGCACGGCTGTGTGGCTCTGGGGCCTGGCTGGAGTCTGGCCTCCACAGGCTTGGCCAGGGCCTGAGAAGGTCACTTGCTCCCTCAGGGCTGCGGTTCCCTTCCGTCACACAGGGGTGCCACGAGGCTCCTGTGAAGGCTGAAGGACTGGGGTCCTCCTCCTCTGTCCTGTCCCGTGGACAGCCCACACGCACAGGCCTCGCGATAGCCCTGCACCTCCTCAGGGTTGAGCAGTTCCTCCCTTGTTTCAGGAGAGACCGAGCTATTTCTCTGCTGTGTTTATGAGATGCTGTATCAGTTAGCCTCTGCTGAGTAACAACAAGCTCCAAAACTGGTGGCTAAAATGGTGACACTGGTGGTCCACAGGGCTGTGAGCGTGGCAGGTGACGCCGGCATTCTCAGTGAGGTGATGGGACCGACACAGCTGTGTGTTGCTCACCTTCCAGCAGCGCCTGGCTCGCCCACCTGGCCGAGTTCCTGACACCAGGAAGCCCCGCTTCCAAGCTCAGAGCTCCCCATTTACCTCACTTTTGCCATTAGCTGTGGCTGAGTCCAGATGAGGGGTGGAGAGAACACTCTGCTCCTGCATGGAGGAGGCTTAGAGCCACGTCACCAGGGACCTGGCGTGGGGCGGGAGGAGTTTGTGCTCCAGGGTTTAGAGTCCGGGGGTCCTGGTTAGGCTACCATGACCCACCGAGGATCTTGGGCTTCTTGACACCTCAGTTTGCCAATCTGTCGAATGGAGAGAAGAGAACTTCCCTCCTTGAGTTGTGTTGGGTTCAGCATGGGGCCTGGTCAGAGCTTCCTATCACCAGTGTTATTAATGGTGGTCTTGCCTGAGGGGGTGGCATGCTGCCTCAGGCAGAGGGGCAGTGACTCGGCCAGCTTGGGCCCAGCCAGGGGCAGCTCTTGGGTGAGCATAGGGGCAAAGGCCAGGCATACCCCTGTGGCTGTCTTCAGGGGCCAGCAGAGGCGCTGGGCCAAGCTCAGAACAGGCCTCTGCTGGGAGGCGCCACAACACACAGAGGGCATGTGTCGCAGGGCTCCAGCTGACACAGGGGCATTATACCAAGTGGGCGGCCAGCCCAGCAATGGCTTCCACGAAGCAGGCCTGAATGTGAGGTGCGTGTGGACATGCACGGTGGGAGCTCCCCCAAGAGGAGCCAGGAGGCCATGGACACCTAGTGGACACCGGGCACTTGGCATCCTAGTGAGCCCTGCAGGGGCAGAAACAACTTGAGTGTGAGGGTCCTGCCAAGCCCCACGTGACGGAGGGCTGTGCTTGTGGAGCATGTGAGTCCCCAGCTGTGGGTCTGGGGCTGCTGGTCTGCAGGGACTCAAACCCCGAGAGGCTTGTAGTCGGGGGTGGCTGAGCCCCAGATCCTCAGTTCTGGGTGGTCACACTCAGCCTGGGGACCCTGGGCGGGGAGGGGACATGTCAGGGTGCTGGGACAGTGGCCATGGGTGTCCTGCGTATGCTGACCACTCTGGTTTGGGTGACCTTGGGCAAAACCCTTAGCTCTTCTTCAGGGGACACCCTGTTGCCACACAGGCAACCTGAGGGCACAGAGGCAGAGCAGGGCGGCAAGTGCAGGTCTGCCTGGCAGACCACGGGCACAGCTCCGGGACCCGGCAGAGAGGGGGCAGATGTCATGCCAATCTCCCGGGGGTGGCCTCTCTCCTCACCCCCTGGAAGAAGGTAGAGCCTGAGGAGGGCCGGTCCCTAAGACAGAGCAGGGAGGCCGCCCAGGAGGTGTCTGGGACCGTGGGGACCGCGTGGCTGTGGTTTGCGTTAGCGGCCGCCCACCCGGCTGCCAAGTCTATTTCAAGCCCTGCTGAATTCTCTTACTTCCCACGTGTGCCTGTAAGAGGCTGTGATTCAGTTTGTCCTTTGCACAATGAAAGAATGTGCAGTGTGCTTCAGACCTTTGCTAAACTGTGTTAGTGATTAAGCGGGCGACCAGGCAGAGGTGTGGGCTGGGAGCGGAGGGAATGGGCGGTGAGGACGCAGCGTCCGCCAGAGCAGACGGGGCGGGAGCAAGGAGCCCTCTCCCTCAATTTCCCCTGTCCCCGCCATGGGCTGCGGACGGTGGCACCTTGCCAGACACTTTCACTGGGCCTGGAGGACACACAGGGGCAACACTGAGGTCCCCACATGGGCAGGGACTCAGGTCGGGTGAGGCCCCAGATCCTTGGCTGCTTCCCCACCGGTAGCCCCTCTGTGCCCACAGCCCTGCCTGTGTGTCACAGTGTGAGACTGCGGCCAGCAAGCACAGAGGTGTTGTCCTGAGGGCTGGCTAAGCTGCAGATGGCCTGTTGTTGGAATTGCACACATTTCCATTATCACTATTGCCATCATACCACCATCACCACCATCACCACCATCACCATCACCACTACCACCATCACCACCTACACCATCACCATCACCATTACCACCATCACCACCACCACCACCATCACCATTACCACCATCACCACCACCACCACCATCACCACCACCATCACCACCATCACCACCATCACCACCATCACCACCACCACCATCACCACCATCACCACCATCACCATCACCATCACCATCACCACCACCACCATCACCATTACCACCATCACCACCACCACCACCATCACCACCACCATCACCACCATCACCATCACCACCATCACCATCACCATCACCACCACCAGCACCAACATCACCATCACCATCACCACCACCATCACCACCATCACCATCACCACCACCATCACCACCATCACCACCTACACCATCACCATCACCACCACCACCATCACCACCACTACCACCACCACCATAACCACCTACACCATCACCATCACCATCACCATCACCATCACCACCATCACCATCACCATCACCACCATCACCACCATCACCATCACCACCACCACCATCATCATCACCACTACCACCACCACCACCATCACCATCACCATGATCACCATCACCATCACCACCATCACCATCACCATCACCACCACCATCACCACCATCATCACCACCACCATCATCACCATCACCATCACCATCACCACCACCACCATCACCACCACTACCACCACCACCATAACCACCTACACCATCACCATCACCATCACCACCATCACCATCACCACCATCACCATCACCATCACCACCACCATCACCACCACCACCACCACCATCACCACCACCATCACCACCATCACCATTACCACCATCACCACCACCATCATCACCATCACCATCACCACCATCACCACCATCACCACCACCATCACCACTACCACCATCACCACCATCATCAGCACCACCATCATCACCATCACCATCACCATCACCACCATCACCATCACCATCACCACCATCACCATCACCATCACCACCATCACCACCACCATCACCACCATCACCACCATCACCATCACCACCACCATCACCATCACCATCACCATCACCACCATCACCACCACCATCACCACCATCCCCATCACCACCATCAACACCATCACCATCACCATCACCATCACCATCACCACCATCACCATCACCACCATCACCACCATCATCACCATCACCACCACCATCACCACCATCACCATCACCACCATCACCATCACCATCACCACCACCATCACCATCACCACCACCACCACCATCACCACCATCACCATCACCATCACCACCACCACCACCACCATCACCATCACCATCACCACCATCACCATCACCACCATCACCACCACCATCACCATCACCATCACCACCATCACCATCACCACCATCACCACCAACACCACCACCATCACCATCACCATCACCATCATCACCATCACCACCATCACCACCACCATCACCACCTATACCATCACCACCACCACCATCACCATCACCATCACCATCACCACCATCACCATCACCACCACCATCACCACCATCACCATCACCACCACCACCAACACCACCACCATCACCATCACCATCACCATCACCACCACCACCAACACCACCACCATCACCACCACCATCACCACCATCACCACCACCATCACTGTTATTCACCATCCATTTTCTGTTGTAGCAAGACACCTGAGACAGGAACTTTATGAAGAATAATGGCTCATTCAGCTCACACTGTCAGAGTGTGAGAGCACCAGGAGCCACATCTGGTGCAGGCCCCTCCCTGATGGGACCCTCCTGAGTCCTGAGAGGTGCAGACGATCACACGGTAACGCATGGCACCTTGTGACACCCAGCTGAAGTGTCTGAGCGTTATCCCAGGGGGGGCCCACCTGAGTGTTGTCGCCAACAGTGTAAAAGGGGCACTGCCAGGGAGAGGGTGCTGTCGATTCTCCTGGAGAAGTTTGCCTTCCTGGCTTCCTGATAGGAACTCGGCTGTTCCCACTGTCGGAGAGGTCCTCGCTGTCGCTAAGGAGGCTGCGGTTCTCTTTGGGGACCCTGGTCCCCACCTTGAGCATCGCTTCCTGGCTCCAGTGCTGACCCTCAGCTGCTGGCACAGCTCCTTCATCCCGCTGGCACCGCCCTTCTAGCTTCCGTCACCGACCTTTGGGCCTCCCCAGAGGGCCACCTCTGTGCAGATGTGTAAGACATTGTCATGGCTTTGGGCCTCCAGCTGGACTCAGGCAGGACATTGCCGTGGGATCCAGCTGGGTTCTTTGGGTCTCTAGTGCTCAGACAGATCTCTTGCGCTCCTCCACATGTGCTCATTGGGTGGATATTATGAATTAACCCTATAGATTATGTGCCCTGCATTAAACCTGACTACAGCACATGGCAAGAGCTGGTCAGCAGCTGGGCAGGCAGTCAGCTTGGTGGAGAGTGCGTGCTGGAGGTCCCAAGTTTGCTCCCCAACACCAAAATCTCAATTTTAAAAACAGAACCCACCTGGCTCTTAGACCCGTCCAGATAACCCACGACATGAGCCCACGCATCCAGCCCTGCTTAAAGGCCAGCCCTGCCCACCACCTCACCTCAGAAAGGGCCGCTTGGTGCCCGCTCTCACTGCTGCACGAGGCGGGTCAGCTTCAACACATGTTTGGCAGGCCCACAAACCATGGCTGTGGTCACCTTCACCCTCGCCAGCAGCACCTGCACTCTCCCGGACAAGGGCTTGTCCTCTGCCGCTGCAACTCCGGGGTGCCTGTCACAGAGTGGAGCAGGTGAAGCTCAGCCACACCCAGGCCGCTCCCCTAATGACAGTGGCACTGTGTGGGAAGCCAATACCAGCTCTGTGCTGTGGCGTCCTCAAAGCACACGTTCTGCGCCCATCTTAAAGACCAGGCACAAGGCCCAGGTAAGGTGTGCCCCAGGTGGTCCAGGGCGCTGAGGCCTGAGCATGGGTGACCGGCCCTGCAGCTGCCAGGGAGAGCAGCGATCGCTGTCCTGTCCCAACCACAGGGTCCCAGACCCCCCCGGGTGATGATAGAGAGGCCTTCGGGACTTCAAAGGAGGTTTGTGCAGACAAACGGGTGTGGGCACTCGACTCCAGCACAGTGGCCAGGGAACACAAGGCTGCGCTGTGAGCGTCCCCTGATCTGAGCTCTGGCCGCAGTGACCACTGCTCTGCACGGGCACTGTGTGTCCCGGGAGCATCCCGGGCCTGACTGGGGCATTCTGGGGTTGGGGAAGGTGGTGGGTGGGCTCACAGCCTGAGCAGGAGTCCTGTACAGTGCGATGAACGGACTAATTTCAGAGATGTGTTTATTAAAAGACAGAACTAGAGCCCTCTGAACAGCCTCCTGGTGAACCTGGAGCCGGTCAGGGTGGCGCCGGCCCCAAGGCAAACAGACGGCGATCTTATCCCCGCGTCGGGAGCTGCAGTCCCGGGTGCCCATGGATGACAGTGCCCCATCCAGCTGGGTTCCCGGCTGCATCCTTCTCCAAATCGTGGGAGAGGAAACTCAATATTATTTTAGGACTGGCCTCTGCATAATAGGAGGGCAGAGAACAATCCGGTGCTTATATCACACAAGAACCAACGCACTGCTGTCCTCTGCCGGCAGCCGTGCCCAGGAAGGAAGCTGAGAGGCCAGGCTGGGGCCTTTCTGGACAGTCACAGCCCAGACGGCTCCGTGGAGGGGACGAAAACCATGCACTTTGGGTGGGGTGTGCAGGGTTCTGTGCCGGGCCGGGGTGTGGAAGGCGGAGCCCCTGGCAGGTGGGCTGGGCCTCCTTGCCGGGGAGCTTTGTCATTGGCTGGGAGCAGCGTAAGGGCGGGGCGAGGCCATGGGAGGGCGTGGCGGGCGTGGCTTTGGTGCAGCGCTCCGCCTCCTTCTCCAGGAGTTCGGAGCCCAGGCCGCGTCCTCCTCCAGGGCCTTAGAGCATGCACTGTGACCCACACTGGCACCGATGGCCCCTCCTGCCCCACCTGTGAGTAGACCTGGCCTTCCTGCCTGCTCGCCAGGGTTCCAGCCAGGGCGGCAAAAGAGCACAAGGACGCGCTCTTCCAAAGCGGAAGGAAGCCACCTTGCGCCTCCCCAGTGGCTCCTTGGCAGGCGCAGGCGAAACCCCACCTTCTCCTCCACTTCCGGGGAGGCAGCCAGATTGTGGCCGTGGATTGAGGTTAGCATGTGCTGTGTGACCTTGGGCAAGGCACCTTGCCTCTCTGAGCCGTGTCCTCATCTCGAGCCAACACAAGCACAGTGAGTGTCACATTGAGGTTCGCCTCAGGCTGGGGAGTGGACCGCGGCCTGCACGTCCCTGAGTCATAGCCACAGCCTGGCTTTCTGCATCAGGGTCTGGACATGCACCTGTGGCGGGAATGGGCTCACGCTGGGGACAACTGGCCCTGCCCTCATGGCCTCAAGGCTCTTTAGGACACATGGACCTCAAAACCTGCAGAGGTACCTCGGAACAGGCAGGAAATGTGGACTTGAGTGGCCGCCTGTGGGGCTGGGGACACAGAGGTGCACAGGCCCACCTGGCACCTTAACTGCCCTGCACCCCAATCCCATCCCAGGGAAGCCGAGAGGAGACCGGCGTGGCCTGGCCCAAATCGCAGCACTGCAGACAGAGCTTCCAGAGCTTCTCCAGCCTCCTGCAGCTTCAGCAAAAGCGGGACCCAGCCGCCCCCCATCTCAGCCGTGCCTCTGCTCTGTTCCAGGAGTCAGACACACACAGGCACACACATATGCTCTGTGCACGCACACACACACCCAGGTATACCCAAGTCCATGGCTCCCTCACAGGGTGGCCCTGCCTGGGTGGGGCACAGCTGTACCTCCCAGGAGGAGCCCTCACCTGCAGGGAGGTGGGGCTGGCATCTGAAGCCCCAGCCCAGACGCCTCTGACCTCTCATCTGGGCCCCCCCCAGGCTGAAGCGGTGGACTAGGGCCCATCTGGGTAGTGCAGGGTGACTCACAAGGCACCAGGGGCAGCAGCATGGCCTGAGCCATGACTTGCTGACGTGTGCAGGCAAGCACCGGAGCACACTGAGGCCCCCTGAGCCCTGGCTTTTGCTTCTGGTGAAGAGTCCTCCATCTGGGTGCTGAGCCTGCTGGCCAGAGCCGAGGAGTGCTGGGCTGTCACTTGGGTAGCTCTGAGCCACCAGGCAGAGTGGGATGTCACAGCTGGGACCCCAGGCTTCCCACCGGGTCTGGGCTAGGGTCTTGCCCGGGAATTGCAACCCGGCAGTCCTGAGCCCTGCCCCGGTCCCAGGGCTCCTGTCCTCAGTGGCCCAGCCATGGTCTGATGATGCTATGCCCCGTCCATGGTTGGGGCTGAGGTGGGCCAGGGCCAAGGCACCCAGCGTGCTTCTCCGATTTCCCAGTTTGGCAGCTTGGTCAGGTCAGGACTCGGCGGCTGGCTGTCAGGGGAAGGGGCAAGCAGGGAGCAGGACAGGCCCCGTGGTGCCAGCCTGGGCTCAGGGCACAACAGTGCCCTGGTGCCATGCGGGCTGCGCTCACCTGTGGGATCTGTCTCTGCACGCTCAGCCCACGGCAGGCGAGCGCTCAGGAGCTGCCTCACCTGCTCCGGTTGGGCTGTGCAGCAGCTTCGGGGCTGCGTGAACCTGGGGCAGCCTCGCTTATCCTCTGCAAATCCTGACTGCGGGGTGACGTTGGTCCTGTGCTCCTCACCCCTGAACACCCAGGGACACCACGGCAGATGCAGGCGGAGCTCCCTGAGGCCGGGCTTGGGAGAGCGAGCCGCATGCAAACCTCTGTTCGTGCTGCGCCCGCCTGACGTGGGGCGGCGTGGAGCCCGCGCCTCCTGCTGCCTGCTGCTGTGGCCTCCTTCACCAAACCTGTGTCACACAGTAGCTGCTCTGCCTCTGCACGAGCTGATGTCTCAGAGCGCAGCGCTGTGCGGTCACCACCTGCTCATGGCCACCCATGGGTTTCCCCATCACCCGCGGCGGAAGGCTGTCCTGTTCAGTGGCCGCTCCCCGCTTGCCCTGCCCCTGAGCTGCCCTTCTGCTTGGGCTCTGGAGCCGCCCGCTTCTCTGGTGGGCTGTGGGTCCTCCGGGCTCACGGTGCCACGGTGTGGCCAATGCTCTGTGGAGCACACACTGAATGCACAGGCATGTTGACCATGCTTCACCAGAGGTCTGGCTTTGAGACCTGTCTGTGATCTGGAGAGGGGACAGGTGCTGCTCTGCACATGGCGACTCAGCATTGGCTGCCACCTCTGACCTCCTCCAGGAAAAGCCAGGACACCACAGGCCCCGCCAGCGTGGCAGGCCCTGGCTCCAGCCCCCAGGCTCGGGGCCTTGCTGGGGTTGCTGCTGGGATGTCAGTGTTGCCAGCGGCATCGCAAGGGTCCAGGAGCAGCCAGCGGAGCCAGGGGCAGAGAGGGGTTGGGAAGGCCCTGCATGCAGCGTCCCCTGTCTGGGGTGGCTGAGGACGGTGCAGTCTGGTCCCAGGGCCAGGGGTGGCAGTGGATCCCACCTGATGGCCTCGTGTGGGCTGAGGACCGGGATGACCTGCATTGCACCCCCTTGTTACCCACTCCCCGAGCGCCTGGAGCGATGGCCTGGGTGAACCCCGTCCCTCATCACTGATGGTATCCCATGGACAGGCCCGGTGCCCAAGGTCGCAGCTGTGCCAGGGCTGCAGTGCCTGCCGCCACGGGACTCACACACAGGTCATTGACTCTGGCTTTACGGAGTCCCAGATCACTCAGGCCAGGCGGCCGCAGGGTGTGGCAGGCTGGTCCTCTGTGGCTCTGGGTCCCTTTCTGGCTTCTGGAAGCTTCCCTGGGCCTATGCCCCTTTCATCCTCAGTACCCCGGGCACTGCATCTGGGGCTTGACGCGTCCCTGGGCCTTCCTGCGGCCCACAGGGAGGTCCTTTCAGTTTGGAGGACGGCAATGGCCCGTGTGTCCCTGGATGGTCCCCATCTCAAGATCCGTCCTTTTACATGCGTAGAGACAGAGCTGCTCATCCTGTCCGTAGGTGACTGTGGTGCTGTCATTTGCCAACTGCAGGCTGCTCAGTCTCCCCACTCAGTAGGCCCTGGCTACTTTGTAGAG